TAAGAGCGAGCTCACGCCGTGCCTGAAAAAGAAATAAAGAAAAGTGGGGGGGGGGGGGGTGGGGGGGGTGGACTAGATTCCGAAAACCTGAGAACGTCAGAATATGGGCCGGTAACCCGCTCACTCAGTTGAACTACAACTCCCAAGCATCTGTGTCTGCGGAGCGCCTGGACGTCACTTCCTGTTCCGCCGCCCTTTCCCCTCGCACGCAGGGCACGGGCGGGGGGCTCTAGGCGCGCTCCGGCAGCCCCGCCCACTTCACCTCTCACCCCTTTGCCAGCCCCGCGTGACGGAGTGGATGCGCGGACTACGCCTCCCGGCATGCAGCGCGCGCACCCCACCTCCGGACGATGCGTTGCCTTCTGGGAAACCGAGTCCGCTCCCTGTACCATCGGCTTTCCGGACGCCGAGCTCGGTACTTGAAATCCCAGCAAGCCCGGCGGCACTTTGCTTCCGCTCCGCCCCTGCTCTGTTCGCGAGCTCCGCCCCAGTCCGCCCCGCCCCGCGCCGGGGCCGGAGCCGCAGCCCGAGCGGCGGGGTAAGATGGCGGCGGCGGTCTGGGCCGTGGTGCTCGGGCCTAGCGAGGTGGGCGGGGCGGAGCCGGGTCGCTAGGGGTCCCCGAGTGTCCCGCGTAGGTTGCGGGTCCTGGACAGGGGAGCGGCCTAGCCTTAGCTTCGTCCGCGGCGGCCCAGGCAGGCGCTGAGCTGGGGGGCCGTCCTAGGGCCCGGGACGCGTCTGTGGGTGCCAGGGGCGTCCCCAGGGCCAGGACCGCGCCCAGGCTGGCCCTCCATCGCATTGCTGACCCGGGGCCTGTCTGCAGGCGCTATAAGTGGTTCTTACGGTCTGACCGAGGGTGAGGTCTGTGGAGGCTTTTGGGGCCATCTTGAGATCTGGATGTGTGTCCCGGGAGTGAATGGGGTCTGCAGAGCCAGCCAGATCCCTGGGGTATGTCTGTTAGGGCTGGGACGTGTCTACATGGGCTGGTCTGTTCATGCGGATCCTTCTACATGGATCCGGGAGCATTTGGGAGGCCTGGAAGGATGAGATGGGTTTCCCAGCCAGGCAGAGGGAGGCACTGCACCTTGTGATGTGTCCAGAGGCGTGAACGGGTCTCCGAGGCCTGGTGACAGGGAGACTTGGGGGCAGGTAGTGGAGTTGATAGGATGGCAGGAATTCAGTCTGTCTGCTTGGAGCAAACTCAGATGCTTTGGGGGAACCAGGTAAACGTGTGGAGAGTGATACAAAAGAAAGTGTTGGAAATTTTGTCCAGCTCACATGTATTTGCTCTTCAGAAAGTCATTAAAAAGAAAATGACTTAAAAAAAAAAATCTGTGTTGTTCATGGAGGCCTGATAGGGTCTGTGGGATTGTCTAAACTCCTCTAGTGGTCTGGTGCAATGCTTTGCACCCAGAACTTGATTGGCAGTATCATTACATCCCAACATAGGCATTTAACTGGTATTACTCAAGTCCTCTGAACCGATGTTTCCAGTTAATACCTGTGAAATATTTTTCATTGTGTTTTATTTACTTTGTGTAAGGGGCCAGTTGTCAATCGCTGCTCCCATAATTCTCTTGTTGAGGGACCACTGGTCTGAAATCATCTGCAGAGCCTTTTAATTGTCTAAAATGATCCACAGGACCTAGAGGTGTCTCAGGAGCATGGGACATCATAAAGGGTTTGGGACCTCCAGATCTGCTGTCAGTAACTCTTGATTCAGTCTCTTGTATGTGACAGTCACTGCTCTGGGTCCCAGTGGGTGCTGGAAAGCAGCCCCAGAGCTGGGAACTGTCCACACAGCAGAGTATTGAGTATTAGAGAAGCTTGGGGTGAGGTAGAGGGACTGTCAGAGAAGGGCGTGGCTGTGGGAATTAGGGAAGAAGCTTAAGATTTAGGAGCTGGGAGGCTGACTGTGGATTCAGAAGCTTGGGCATAGTTACAAGTCTGGTAAAGACCCTAGATCTTGCAGGTGTGCAGCCAGGGAAGCTGGGAGACAAAAAGGGGAAACCTGGGTATAAAGGCTAATGATACAATTATTGCTAATATGTATCAAGCCCTTCCAGTGTACAAATAAGTGTGATAGACGCTACTATTTTGCCATTTTCAGATAAGCACATGGTGTGTGGTTTAAGAGCCTGGAGCTTCTAGGAATTCTCCAGATTGGGTGTTGCTTGCAGAGTAGCAGGCTTGACAGTTGTGGGGAAGTTTACAGCTGTGATGTGCCTATTTTCTGAAGCCCCAATCAAGACCTCCACCAGTCTGAAGGCTGCTTTCACCTGCCTGACTGGGCGCTCAAAGCCCAGAACTCCCGCACCATCACCGAGGCTATGACCATGCTTCCGCAGGACAGGCAGCCGGGGGATAGGCAAGTGGCCCTCGGGACTGGGGGACAGCATGCCTTTATGAAATTGGGCATTTTTGTTTCCAAAGTGGTGTGGTTGTGTAGACCCTGCTGGTGTGGTGGTTGTATAGACCCTGCTGGTGTGGTGGTTGTGTAGACCTGCTGTCATGGCTCTAGCTCATGTCTATAAGTAAAAACTTTGGTTCCTCACTATGGCGGACTATGGATGCTCTGGCACTGGGCACCACTGAGCACACTGGCATACTTCTCATTGGGGAAGGTGGGTTTATAAGACTGAAGCACACTCCACAATCACAAGACCCAAGTTCAGGGTTGAGTTTGCATCTGTTGGGCTTGGGGAATGAAGCATTGAGGTTTGAACAGGAGACTGGGGAAGTAGTGGGTAGTGGAAAGCCAGATGTTGGAGCAGGTGACTCAGGAATTCTCCCATGGGGAGGGGGGTGGCTGGAACCCCAAGGAAGGAAGAGCATGGTTCTAGTCTCTGCAGGTCCGTGTGGGATTGACAGGGTCATTGGGATGAGGTGGAGGGAGGTGGGCATCCACTGAAGGAGGATGCGATGGAGGCAGCATGGGAGGCCCCTGAGGGCTTCATGTAGTCCTCTGCACCCACCCCTCCCTCAGCCTCCTCTCCAAACTGTCACCCTCAACCCTAGGTGACCATGGAGGAAGACGATGAGTCTCGAGGGAAGACAGAGGAGTCTGGTGAGGATCGGGGAGACAGTCCACCTGACAGAGAGCCCACCCCTTCTCCTTCTGCCTTCATCCTGGTAAGACTGCTGTAGTTCTAGAGCTGAGGAGATTGGGGACCCTGGGGTCAGGGCTCGGGGTCCAAGTTTCAAGGCCCTGGAGTGGAGCTGGGGTTACAGATTTCAGGGCCCTGGAATGGAGCTGGGGTTACAGGTTTCAGGGCCCTTGAATGGAGCTGGGGTTTCAGGTTTCAGGGCCTGCCCATGGCCCTTGGGAAGAAGTGGGGGTTCTGCGTTGGCCCTAACACTTGAGGCTGGCAGTGACGATTTCTGGGGATCCCAAGGAGCAGAATCTGCATAGTCTCTTGTGAGACCTCTTACTCTTGGTTTCTTCTCCCTTTTTTTTTTTCCCCAGCGGGCCATTCAGCAGGCTGTGGGAAGCCTGCAAGGAGACCTGCCCAATGATAAAGGTATGGAGGTCCAGTCCTTTCAGACCCTTGCTCCTCCTCTGCATTCTGAAGCTTTATATTTTCTGACACTTCATGGGTGCTACCTCTGCTAGGGCCAGGGTGACAGGTGACAGGTTGACTGGAAGAAGGGCAAGTGCAGATAGGAACAGCAGGCCTGCAGCACAGGGGCGGCCTTGTGAGACCAGGTGTGGCTTCAGGGCTGGCTCGAGGGTGTGAGCAGGGTGGGAGGGCACCTGGGGAGGTAGAAGGGGTCTTTCCCTGTAGAGCCAGGGCCAGGCAGGCCTCAAGAGCCAAGCTGAGGCCTGTGCCCACCAGTAAGCCCCAGAGTGGGTGTGGGGAACTGTCAGTCCTGAGCTCTGCAGGCCCTACCTCTGTACGTTGCAGGGTCTCAGTCTAGTCCAGCCTCTCTCTTTTTTTTTTTTTTTTTTGTCTTTTTGAGACAGGGTCTCCCTGTTGCCCCAGCTGGCCTGGAGCTCACTATGTAGACCAGGCTGGCTTCAAACTCACAGAGATCCACCTGGCTCTGCCTCCCAAGTGCTGGGATTAAAGGTGTGCGCCACCACACCCAGCCAGCATATGTCTCTTATGCCAATCTTTCTCCAGATGGCTCTCGGTGTCATGGCCTTCGATGGAGGCGCTGCCGGAGCCCACGGTCAGAGCCTCGTCCCCAAGAGTCAGGGAGTGCTGACACAGCCACTGTGAGTAAGGGGGTTTATGGTTCTCCTGGGTCTGGGGTGGTGGTGGGAGTGGACAGTGATAGAGGACCACATCCCTGGGTCTGAGCTGGCTCCCAGGGACCATCAGGATAAGGTTGGTTGGATCCTTGAATGCCTTTGGGTAATCTCAGATAAATGGGTTCCAGGACGGGTCTTGGTTTGAGTGCTCACTGAATGAAGCTCTGCTCAGCCCTTCCAGGTGTTGGATACAGCTGCAGACAGCTTCCTTCTGGGGCTGGTAGGCATCCTGGATCCACCAGATACCTGGGTTCCCAGCCGCCTGGATCTTCGGCCTGGCGAGTGAGTACTTGGGCAGCTGGAGGTGGGGTGCCCAAGGCTGAGCCATGGCGGTGCTGGGGCTCACCATCCCCTCTGTCTCACAGAAGCGAGGATCTTCTGGAGCTGGTGGCCGAGGTCCGCATTGGGGACAGGGACCCCATGCCTCTACCTGTGCCCAGCCTGCTGCCCCGCCTCAGGGCCTGGAGGACAGGAAAAACGGGTATGTGGGACTGCACCAAGATGGGTAGGTGGCTTTGGAGTTATTCGGGAATCAGCTATATTACATATTGGTTTGCAGTGCTGGGGACCAGACTCAGGGACTCCTGCAAGCTTCGCAAGCACTCTGTCAGAGCCAAGCCCCTAGTTTCACATAAGCTATTTTTAGTGAAGACAGTAGGGTGGTTCTGATGTTAGATGCAAGTTAATGTGTGCTTGCAGCTGTACTTGCTAGATGCAAGTCAGTGTGTACTCAAAACTGTAAGTAAAATAAAAGTGCTTTGATGGGGACCAGGAAGGGGCAGTGAGTAAGCAGTTGCCACTAGGCCTCAGAGCTCTGCCAATGGTGTCACTGCACTGGGAACTCACCAGGACTCCTGGAGGGGCCTTCAGCATCTCCACCCAAGGAATGAGCAGTCTGGGCTTAGGACGCCCCCTTCCCTTGCTCAAGGTCTGGAAGCCAGTTCCTCAAGCTGGCTTGGCCTCTAGCTGTGGCATATGAGGTAAAACCGGGCTTTCCTTTCTGTGCTGTGGTTGTGCTAGGTAGACTGCTTCTCATCCTGACCCAGCAGGAGCCGGGAAGCTCTCAGTACTCACAGAATCTTGTCCTGCTACGACTCCCAGGCCCAGGGTGGCTCCCTAGGCTTGGGCATTTGGATTTCTGCAGTATGCTGCTGTCTTCTGTGGGGGCGCATTTAGGAATGGAGAGAAAGCTTGGGTTTGTGAACCTCGAAGCAGGTTCTGATCACTTCGTCCCTTTCAGCTGTTGAGTCCACTCACCCATGAGGCACAGGGGATTGGTGCTTGGGTCTCATGACCCACCTAGACACCCAGAAGGGTTTTGAATTTCTCCTAAAATTGGAGACTGGAGCTGGAGTGCCACTGCACTGTCTGGGAGGCTGAGGCAGGAAGATCAAGAGCCAGGAGTTGAGGAGCTGAAATTTACTGGGGTAACCCCAACCCCAAGAAAAACTCTGAGGGTAGAAGAGGGGTAAGCAGCATTCCAGTGAAACTTTATTTACAGGCGGGGCATGGTGGCCCACACCTTTAATCCCAGGGCTGGGAGGCAGAGGCAGGCAAGTTCAAGGCCAGCCTGGTCTGCAAGGAGACCCCGTCTCAAAAAGACCAAAAACCCCTTTATTTACAGAAATAAGTGGCATGCCAGATTTGGCTCCTGGCTGTGATATTCATGGAGCCTAATTGTTCTCATGGGGACTCTGGGGTTATGTTGGGTATTTTGTTTTATTTGAGACAGGGTCCCACACTGTAGCCTAGGCTGGCTTTGAACTTGCAACCTTCCTCCTGCCTCAGCCTCCCTAGTGCTAGGATTGCAGTCTTTCAATACCACACCAGTTTATGGTTAGGGTTTGTTTTAAACTATTTATTTATTTATTTGGTCTTTTTGAAACAGGGTCTTTCTGTAGCCCCCAGCTGTCCTGGAACTCACTATGTAGACCAGGCTGGCCTTGGACTCACAGAGATCTGCCTGCCTCTGCCTCCTGAGTGCTGGGATTAAAGGCGTGCGCCACCATGCCTGGCTACTTTTTATTATTTTAATTTTATTCGTATGAGTTCGTAAGTGCATCCGTGTTGTATAGTGCCTATACAGGTCAGAAGAGGGCATTGGAACTGGAGTTATGGAGAGTTTTAAGCTGCTGTATGAGTGTTGGGATTTGAGAGCTTGTTTGGAGCTTCTAGCAGGGGAGTGGAGTGCAGCTACTCCTTTATCCTTGACTAGCCAGCCAGATCAGCCAAATCAACCCTGACAATTGATGGGGTGACAGCCCTCACATCTGAGTGTTGGGATTTGAATCTGGGTCTTCTGCAAGAACAGCCAGTGTTCTTAACTGCTGAACCATCTCTATGGTTATGTTTGGTTATGGTTTTTTGTTTTTTCTTTCTGAGACAGGGTCTCCCTGTAGCCCCAGCTGTCCTGGAACTCACTGTGTCAACCAGGCTGGCCTTGATCTCACAAAGATCCGCCTGCCTCTGCCTCCCTAGTGCTGGGATTAAAGGCGTGCGCCACCATGCCCGGTTCTATGGTTATGTTTTTTAAAAAATTTGGAGATAGGGTATTTTATGTTGCTCCACTGGCCTCAAACTCAGCTCAAGCAATTCTCCTGCCTTAGCATGTGCATGTATGTCATGTGTGTCTATGAGTATGTGTGTGTGCATGCCACAGCAAATATGTGGAAGTCTTAGGATGACTTGTAGGAGTCAGATCTCCCTCTGCCAATTGGGTCCTAGGGCTCCAACTCAAGTGTCAGGCTTGACCACAAGCACCTTCACCCAGGGAACTATGTTGCCAGCCTCCTCTTAAGACTCTTTTGGTGCTGCTGGAATCAACCCAAGGCCTCATCCTGAACCACTGAGTTACATCCTTAGCCCTGTATTTTAGGGGATTTTTTTTTTTCCCCTTTGGTCTTTTTGAGGGGTCTCCCTGTAGCCACAGCCCATCTGGAACTCACTTTGTAGGCCAGGCTGGCCTTGATCTCAGAGAGATTCCCCTGCCTCTGCCTCCCTACTGAGATTAAAGGCCTGTGCCACCATGCCTGGCTGTGTATTTTGTTTTTTTGATACAGGCTTTTGTTTTGAGCCCAGGCTGGCCTTAAAGTCCTGATCCTTCTGCTGATTACAGGCCTGTACCCCCATGCCTCCCACTCTGTTCAATTAGGGGGACTTCATCATGTTGCCACATGGCCTCAAACGACTGGGCTCACATGATCCTCCTGCCTCAGCCTCCTGAGAAGCTGGGATTACAGGTGTGTGCCACTGTACAATTTTTTTTTTTAACTCCAGGTGATGTTTTTTGACTTTTTCCATTGGAAAATGTTAACATTGGAACTTTAGGAAAACTAGTACAGTCATCCATAATCCTCCTGTACAAAACTGTGTGTCATTGTTTTCCAGGCCACCGCAGTGTGGCCTGTGTGAAATGGCAGGGAGCAGGAAGCAGCACTGTCCCTTTCCAGGTCTGTGCAGGTGCCCTCTCCACCCACTTTGCATGTCTTCTGGCTCGTGTGATTTGAACCTGGTTGTCCCCAGCATGAGCTTCCCAAAGGTGGTTTTGCTCACTGGCAATGAGTCTAGGGAATGAGAGGACTCCCATTTCATAGAAGAGGAAACTGAGGCCAGCAGTTGATTGAGCCAAGTGCCTGTGGCCACCTTAGTGGAGAATGCTAGGGCCTGGAGACTGGGTGAGGATGTGGCTGGCTCCGCCTTTCTCAGCCTGCTTCCCCTCACTTGGCGTGGGAAGTGGGGTCTCGGCATTGGGGTTTGAGGGCAGCCTCTGCTTAATATGTCCATCAGAGTCTTGGCTGATGGCACCACCTGCAGGTGTATCTGTTGTTTGCCCTTGGTGTAGAGGGGCGTCAAGAGGGCGAGCTAAGATGTGCAAAGCTCCAGGCCTGGCCTATGGGAAGGCACAAGTGTTGGTGGTTGTTGCTGTGGGTCAGCTGCAGTCCTACCAAGTTTGCGCTCAGCCTGTACCCTACACAAACTTGGTAGGACTAGCTGTCCAGGCCTCCGTCTCTGCCACTTTGTGGTCTGAGCTGCTCCCCCCCCACAAAGTGGGCTCAACAGCAGGAGCAGCTGGCCTGTGGGGACATTACCACCTTTGGTTCAGGACCAGCCTCTGGAGAGGGGGGTTAGGCCAGTGCTCCCTCCGGGCACGTGTAGGCTCTGGGGCCACTTTTTGCTATTCTGGGGGGGGTTTTTCACATATACTAGGCTAGTGCTTTGGCACTGAGCCACGCCCCCCAGCCCCTGACTTGACTGCCAAGCTGCATCAATCACTCCTTAACTGTGCGTTAAAAATGGGTAAGCCCTAGCATGCTTGCCTCAATTTCCTCCTGCATGGCGCGGGGTCACAGTGTTCTGGAGGGCACACAGGAAGCACTAGTGGTGTCTGGTCATGTGGTTTTGGTGAGGGTTGGGGTGGAGCAATGATGGTGCTGGCCTGTGTACCAGCCTTGTGGCCCCTGCACTGGCAGGGAGGAGTGGGTATTTACTGACCACGCCTCCTCTGCCCTGTTCTTCCGCAGTTTCTCCACAGTCCCACTCTCCTCGACCCGCTTGTGCGCGCCACCTCCTCACCTTAGGCACAGGGGATGGGGGGCCCGCCCCACCACCTGCTCCCTCCTCTGCCTCCTCCTCACCTTCCCCTTCCCCCTCCTCGTCTTCCCCTTCTCCTCCTCCTCCTCCTCCACCCCCGGCACCCCCAGCTCCTCCTGCCCCGCGATTCGACATCTATGACCCCTTCCACCCCACCGATGAGGCCTACTCCCCACCGCCTGCCCCGGAGCAGAAGTACGACCCCTTCGAGCCCACCGGCTCCAACCCCAGCTCCTCTGCCGGGACCCCCTCCCCAGATGAGGAAGAGGAAGAGGAAGAGGAGGAGGAGGAGGGCTTGTCGCAGAGCATCAGCCGCATCTCAGAGACCCTGGCGGGCATCTACGACGACAACAGCCTGAGCCAGGACTTCCCAGGTGACGACAGCCCGCGCCCCGACCCGCAGCCCCCCCAGACACCTGGGGCCGCAGCCACGCCGCCCCAGGTCGACTCCACGCGAGCAGAGGGGCCTCCGCGCCGCCGCGTCTTCGTGGTGGGGCCCGAGGCCGAGGCCTGCAGGGAAGGCAAGGTGTCCGTGGAGGTGGTAACGGCTGGCGCTCCCGCGGCGGACCCTGAGATCGAGGAGGGCGAGATTGTGCAGCCTGAGGAGGAGCCCCGACTAGCCTCGCTGTTCCGCCGCGCCCGCCC